TGCTGCCCCCTGCTAGCCCAGCCCTGAGCTCCCCACACCCCAACCCTGCTGGTGCCCCTCACTCCCAACCTGCTGCCCCCTGCTAGCCCAGCCCTGAGCTCCCCACACCCCAACCCTGCTGGTGCCCCTCACTCCCAACCTGCTGCCCCCTGCTAGCCCAGCCCTGGGCTCCCCACCTCCCAATCCGCTAATTTTCCCTCGGCTCTGGGGTCACCTGGTAAATCTGGGTAGATCTAACTCTTCCCACAACCATCCGATCCCTGCCTTTGCCCCTGGGGGCATGGCAGACCTTGGGCACAGCCCTGGCAGGGGGCGACGCTGGGTGACACCAGCCCTACCTTGTTCTGGCTCCTGTGAACTGTCGTCGCCCAGTGGCTCAGGGAGGCTGGGCGCTCTGGAGGCTGGAAGCAGGTTGGCATTCGGGGGGCAGTGAGCAGGGGTCACTTCTCCCTCCCCAGGCGTAATGCCCCCTGAGCCGGCTGCAGAGTCACCAGCCCCCGGGGTTCTGTCACCAAGCCCGCAGCCGGAGCGACCCGGGGGGTTGCCTGATGCCCGCAGCGAGCACCGGAGGAGACTCCGGCCCAGGGGCAGCATCACCCCTGCCTGGCAGCAGCGTCTGTGCCGGGCTTCACAGCATCCCGGGGGTCTGACGGTCTCTCCTCCCCCCCCGCCCCCATTGCAGGTGGAGCATCCCAACCCTGGCGTGCGGTACCCGGGCACCACGCGGGTGGCCTACCTGCCCGACTGCCCGGAGGGGAACAAGGTGCTGGCGCTGTTCCGCAAGGCCTTCGACCAGCGCCTGACCTTCACCATCGGCACCTCCATGACCACGGGCAGAGCCAACGTCATCACGTGGAACGACATCCACCACAAAACCAACTGCACCGGGGGACCCCAGCTGTAGGCAGCCGTCGCGTGCAGGGCTCACGGGCTGGGGGCCGGTGCTGGTGGCGGGGGGGTGACCCATCTGTGCTCCTGAGTGGGGCCCGACTGGCTCTGGAAACCCAGAGGGTGGGGGGCTCAGTAGGGGGCACTCTCCCCTGGCTGTCAGTGCTGGCCCCGGTGCTGCGGGGAGTGCGATAGGGGGCGCTCTCCCCTTACTGTCAATGTGGTGCTAGGGGGCGCTGTGCTGCAGTGTGGGGGCTCAGCGGGGGGCGCTCTGCCCCGGCTGTCGGCGCTGACCCCAGTGCCCGGCACCAGGGGGCGCTGTGCTGCGTGCCAAAACGCTTGTGACCCTGGCATCTCCCAGGGCCGTTTCTTCAGGAATTGGGACACAAACTACCCCGTGCCCTGGCCGAGCGCCCCCCAGGTGCCGGGCACTGGGGTCAGTGAGCTGGCCAAGCCGGGGGCTGCTGCGGCGTGGGGGGGCAGATGGTAGGCTGGGGAGCTGTCCAGGCGAGGGTGGGGCTGTGCATGGCTGACGTCTCCCCTGTGTGTCTCCTAGATTCGGGTACCCCGACCCCACGTACCTCGCCAGGGTGCAGGAGGAGCTCCGAGCCAAAGGCCTCACTGACGATTAACCCTTTCTCTGCTGCGGCTCCTGCTGTGGTGCCAGGGGGCGACCCAGGGGGGCGGCAGGATGGCCCCACAGCGTCTCCTGTCCAGCTGGGCTCGGGGCGGCCAGGCGGCCGTCAAGGCAAGGTGCTTCGCTGGCTCCACCCTGGATTGCGGCTGAGGGGCCCGCGCTGTCTGTGCCAGAGCCTCCCCCAACTGCCAGTGCTACCTGGAAGGGTGGGGGGGAGGGGAGTGTGTGATGGGGGGGGTGTATGGAGAGGGTAGCGTGAGATAAATGTGTGTTTGAGTGAGAGATCGGGGGTTGTGTGGCTGTACTGGGCGGGTGGGGTTGTGTGTGCAGGGGGTGAGGGTGATGTGGCTGTACCGGGCGGGTGGGATC